CTGTTATTCGCTTAATTACACGCCTTAACGTAACGGCGTCGCCGCGCCGCAATCGAGTCGTGTAATACGCATCATCACCCTCCATTTTCCACTCTTTGCGCGACTCTCACCCTCACTCGCTCGCTGCATTTTCGTGCTCTTTAATTCATTTAGCCGCCGTCGACGCACACGCCGGGCTGCGTGCGTTACGCTTCAGGCTATATTCGATTACTCTCTCTCGCAAAAATCGTGCTTCGCTCTTTCTATATTTTCGCGAGAACATTTTCGCGAAAAAATCGAAACACAATTTCTCTTTATTACAAGTCGACGTGAAATACAACTCGAAATTAAGTAAACCAGGCGCCGCCCGTTCGTGTGCTGATTCGGAAAACAGTCGGTTCGTATATATGTATATGTATATATGTTCGTATATATATATATGTTCGACAAAATCCTATCGGTAACATATGCCACTTTCGCACGCGTGTACGGTAATACAATACACGCGATATGTGTATGTGCAATCTCCCTCAACATCTCCACCCGGGATTAAGATATATCGACCAATCCGGATCAAGGCGGAATACATACTTGCCTTAATCTGTCCCACGATGTCATCTCGTTCGAGCGCAGAATATCAGAATCACGATCTTCATCAGGCTCTCTTTTAGGTCGCAACGCGATCTCCATCTGCATTGGACCATATCTCCCACGCGCGATGACGATCGATAAAGAAATCGCTGTACCGTACCCACTCGTTCTCGGTCGTCGTGTCTCTCGTTAGCCGGAATGACGGTTCAACCGAGTCCCGGCGAGCCCCGCGGAACTTGACTCACATTATTTGGGCCCCCGAGGTCGTGATCTGTGAACGGACTGGAATACAATGGTGACCCGACCTGGCTAGGCGCCGTTTTCTATTGTGACGTGACGACATGGCACGTCCGTTCTCGTACCGGAAACGGGCCTCTTCACCGTGTGACGATAGATCGTGGAAAAGTTAATTCAATACGCGACTTTTCGGGCTTCACTCCAACTGTCAACTCTCTCTCTCTTTCTTTTTCTTCCCGAAAGTCATTCAAAATATTTGCTCTGCACCTGGTGCGAAGCGTATACACAGTGCATCGCGCGACTTTCTGGATAATCCGATTTCAGAAACGTCGCTGAAGGGAAACTCTTCGCACAGCCTTTTGTAACATTTGAAAGGAAGATGAAGCACTCCACGCGAAAGAATATGATTCAATCGAACTCGAGCGGTTTGACATTATGCTCGAATAACAACGATGCTGACTCGACTTTTTTTTTTCTTAGTTACGTGATTCGACAGGTTCGAACGAAAAATAGGAAAAGGTAACAAAAGTCTCTCGTTGGGTCAATGTTGCCACGACGGCGTTGGTGCGGTAGTAATAGTAGTCTGGAAGTTGCTCGGGACTGTGGTCGGGACTAAAATAACAAGGCACGTGACGCGAGAAACAAGGCGTCTCTTGTATCTTTCTTAATCCATCCCTCTTCGTTTTGTGTTCGCGGTGTCTCGTTGCACGCGCCGTAGTGTACACTATTCTATGTATACCTGTCGTCATCTCGCACAGCGAGAATGTAGCGTCGACCGAGCAAGAACCTTTCGACGTTGCTTCCGGTACTACTGCTGCTGCTGCCGCTGCAGGTACCTTTGTTAATTAAGAGGCGTCATGTGTGGTCTCTCACCCGGGCGAGCGAACGCGCCGTGAAACCCATATATACACGGATTGCACAGTGGCTCGTGTCTCTGTCTCGTTCAGGCCTCGATACGTGGTCAACCCGCATAGCAGCCACGTGGGGTTCGAGGATGCGAATGCACATCGCGTTCATGTGCACGTGTATGTGTCTATGTACGTAGGTACGTAGGTAGCTGCTACCCGCCGTTGCTACTGCCTGCTTGCCTGCGACGCGTATCTAACGGAGACACGACTAACTAGCCCGCCCGCCGTGGCTAACGAGAAGAGGGAGAGGGTTCATGCTGGCGCCGCAACCAGGTGATTCGGTGACGATATGAGACCGGATACAACGTTTCCATCCGGGTTCTATCGCCCCATCCGATCGCGTCGAATTATCGGAAACCGATGACAATTCTCCGCCCGGCGAAGCCGACACGAACGGAGAGTCGCGCGTGTCGCGTGACGTCACTCGATTAGGCTTCTAGCGCGGCTCCGCAAATTGTCGTGTGCAATGTTTTTTTTTTTTTTTTTTTTTTTCGACCCTTACGCTAATTGGTGGGATTAAGTCACGAACGTGACTTTCGGAACCAATTCGAAATATGTATTACACGTGACATAATTCGACGCGACCGGATAACGCGCGTGTAAAATAAATAATGATCGTGACGCGATCATCGAATATTCATGGCGGTCGGGATTCCACGACGCGCGGAATAATTACGTAGAAACTTACGAAGAAACTTTTTTTTTTTTTTTTTGCTTCACTGACTCGGCCATACCAGTGGTGTTGCGTGACCCGGTTCAATTAAGTTCGGCTTCGTGCTTGCGTTTCTGCTCGCGGCGCTCTTGTTTTCGGTGGTTTAAAGATCTCGTCCGTGTATCTCAGCGTCCGGTTACCTTTCGAGGTAATACGAGAATTAACCGTGTCACTGGAAATGATTAAAAAATATACGCGAACCGATCTAGATACGTACAAGTCGCGCTCGATAATAGAGGGGAGAAGATCGCAAATCGCATTCCGCGTATAATCTATATACATTACATATATCGACGCGCGCGATTTCGATCGAATCTCCGCTCGAATTATCGGTAAGCAATGAAAATCTAATTCCACCTCGTTTCACTTCCGCGCATCGCGTGACGCTGCTCGATTAAATCCACGTCTTGTTATCGCGTGCACTCTTTTCCTTTGTACGTATCCAATGCGCTCTGAAAGAGCCGCTATCAGGAACGTCGCTACTCGTACTCTCGCCGTACAAATAGATCATGCCCACAAATTATACACGGCGTCCGTTCGCGATTCGCAGGACGGAGAGCGGTCGTAAACGCGCTCGAGGCAGCTGCAATTAGGAAGCTCGTCGAGATATAGAACCGACGATTCCAATTGGGGCTGATAGTTATTCCATCCGCGATGGAATTAATGCCAACCCTCTGGCTTGCGTTATATGTACGCGCGACGTTGTGTAATAAACAAGACGTATGACTGGCAATACGACTCGTGATGATGCCTCCGTATATTTCGCATATGAAATACCCCGTGTCGTTACTATAAAATCCCCGACGCGAGACTGCGATTCGCGAGAGAGAGAGCGCCGTGCGCATGTTCGAAATGGTTAACGAACTGGCCGCATGCTGGCTCCGAACGGCTAACGAGAATTCGTATGGATGAATTCGCCATCAGGAGGAACCAGAATGATTTCGATGGGGGGGCTCCTATCGGCTATTTCGATCTGGCCGAATTATCGGAAACCGATGAAAATCCTATTTTACTTGCGTCTCCGTACGAATGCGTCGCGCGCGTTACCAAATTCCGACTCCGCCGTCGCCGCGTCCGTCGTCGTCGTTGCGTCCCCCCGTCCAACCCTTGGCAATTGCCGACCCCATTGTACCATCACCGTGAACTCCCTCTCTCTCTCTCTCTCTCTTTCTCTCTCCCTCAAGAACGATGTCATATATTTTTCAGCGCGCTTGCATTTGATTTTGTTGACTCGGAGATACATTCGTTTCGAATGCGCCGAATGGAATTAACGAATCGAACGAACGTTGGAACGAACTAACTTTAACCAGAACCGGGAGAAGAGCAGTTTTATTATCAGTGTTGATTGCTACGATTGAACGCAATCCGTTTTTATTTTTTCTGTTTTTTTTTTTTTTTATACATCTGTCGTGCGTTGAAAAATCGATCGTAAGACATTGCGCGTGCATTCGAGCTGATCCGATGATACATCGCGCGCGTTTATCTCGCGTCGATGTCGTCGTCGCTTTTGCGAATCAGTAACTTTGATATAGACAATATGCGAATGCACGTCGAGCCGTTAGTGTTAACGCACAGCTGCATGGGTTTTTCATCCCCGTATTTATGTTGCAGCGCGGCGATATCGGACGCTCGATATCGGACTTTATGTTGACAAATTGAGCACCGTATAAAAAGCCGAATACGGACAGTTTATTACTGACGCGTTTCATATTTTTAAGCCTTCTGATTGGAAAGAAGGGGAGGAGAGAAAAAGAGCGAAAAAGAGAGAGAAAGAGAAAGAGAAAACGAGAGAAACAAAAAAAAGAGAGAGAGAGAGGTACAGGGTGGCGCATTTATCGCGATGGAAATTGTGGCCAAATGTCGCACGGGGATAAAGGTCTAACCACTCGTTGGCGGAAAATACATCGGACTTGTGCACCGGTGCGCCGCGTAAATCCGAAAATTCATTACTGCAGTGCGCACCGCGATTGTTCGTAACCGGAGCGCTCTCGTAGTCCGCTTGCGCGAAGCCGGCGTTGCATTAATGGTCCCGGGCGTCAGGATTTACAGGAGGGGCACACCATTGTTGACAGGCGAATATAAAATTTTCCCGATTTTCCGGGAATGAGGGTGAGAACGCGCCGCGTGAATAACGCGATCATCAAATTAATAACTGAATTCAGTAAATTGCGATTACGGTGTGTATTTGGAAAGTAGACTCTTCCGCGTTTGTGCCGCGTCGGCAGACGTCCTCGCTGATTACGAGGCATTGCAGCGTGTAATGATAATATGCGATCGATCCAATTTATTACGTAATAATAGGCGCTATTGTATATCATGCTTAATTATTAATGTTAACCTGCACGAGTTTCCGCGATGTTTTGTTTGCAGACGGAATAAAGACACTGTTGCGAAAATAATTTATACATTATATTATTATGCTACTATAATGATTATATAAACTATATATGTGATTATATATAACTATTTTATAACATCATCATAATTTGTATAAATATATATACTCGTAAAAGAGAAATATATAAAAACAAAAAACAAATTTTACAAAGTTCCATTATTTTCTCTTGTGTCAGAAGGTGAAGATGCCGCGGAGGATGATGACTCGTATCTTCTAGAGGAAGATGAGGTGCCTTCGGCTACGATAGCCAGCGATACCGAGCTCATCTCCGAAGGCGGCGGACATCTGCCGGTTTTTCTCACGGAACCCGTCAATTCTTTCGTTGTGAAAAACAAACCCGCTACTCTACACTGCAAGGCCGCGCACGCGCTGCAGGTCTATTTCCGCTGTAACAACGTAAGAGCGGAAAACTCTCAGCAAACGGATTTCGTGGATCCGCACACGGGTACCAGGATAGTCGACTGCGAGCTCAATGTTACCAGAGATCACATCGAGGAGTATTTCAGTCAAGATAAATTCAAATGCGAATGCATCGCTTGGTCTGGATCGGGACAAATTAAGAGCCAACCGGCGACTATTGACGTCGCTTGTAAGTAATCAATAAATAATGTGTTCGTACGAGTATAGACTAATTTTTCTAATTTTGATATTTTTGTTGAAACAAATATTCGGGATAAGAGTCGCGTAATGGGAAAATTCTTGTTGTAATACGAATTAAATTCTTATTTTCAAGCCAGACAGTGTTCTTGTGTTCTGACTGAAGTACGTGAATCAGGTTCGAAATAAGCGTCGCGAGAATTCTGGGGACAGCCGACTTTTCGTCTCACTTTGTCTTCGTTCCCTCGTAATTATCTTGATTCTCCTGCCAGCGAACTCGTTATTTAATTCCTCGTCTCTTAATTGACGACAATGCAATGAGCGTCGAGTTTCCAAGAGAATCAATTTAAAGAGACAACCACTTGGCCAATTTTAGAGTTACATAACTCAAAAGCTAGACGTAAAAGAGCGCCTAAGAAGATAAAAAGACGTAATGTATAAATTATCGAAAAGCTGACGGAAACACTGCGCGACACAAAAAACCAATTAGCAAAGAAATGAAAAAAAAAAAAGTGTACATATTACAAATGTAATATATTATATCGAAAACTAGTAATTTTCGACATTTCGTAATATTTAATTTTGTCTTATCATCATCATTGATAATGACTGTGTTATCAAAGCGAGCACGCTAAACTTGTTTGTTTCAGACTTGAAAAAGCAGTTCGAGTCGCCACCGTACTCCGTGTCCGTCGAAGCGGGCCAGAGTACCGAACTCAGGTGTTTGCCTCCTACGGGAGTGCCGCCGCCTCGAGTTTACTGGTTAAGAAATAATGTCCCTGTAGACACGGAGACGGACACACTACTCGTATCCAGCGAGGGCCATCTTCTTATCGGTCAGGCTAAACTTAGTCATCAGGCAAACTACACCTGCGTCGCCGAAAATATAGCGGCGAAACGACTGAGCGAGCCAGTCAGTCTAATAGTATACGGTGAGTTTGATCGACACAAACTTGTTATTGTTTATGAGAAAATGCAACTAATTCTATTATACGCGTGCTGATACATTTCGTGACAGATTCTTTCATAAAACTCAGTACAATTACAAAAGGGACTTTATTTGATACTTTAAAGATATTTTCACTGTTTTTGATTAGTTAACGGTGGCTGGTCTTCCTGGTCGTCCTGGTCGGAATGCCACTCGCGATGCGCGAAAGGCGGTCAGAAGAGGACGAGGACGTGCACGAATCCATCGCCCATGAACGGCGGCCAGGCGTGCCTAGGCCCGTCTCAGCAAAAGATGGACTGCAACACAGCCTGTCCCGGTGAGTCCCCTTGAATTCATTATCCACGCTCGCGCGCGCATAAGACTTTCGAGGAAGAAACCTCTCTCTCTCTCTCTCTCTCTCTCTCTCTCTCTCTCTCTCTCTCTCTCTTTTTCTTTCTTTACCTCTAAGTTGTTTTGCTCGTCCTCGTTGTAGCTCTTTTGTTGCGTTCTAATCTACTGGCAGCGACGTCGCTCAAGAAACTTAAAGCGTGTAAGCAAGCGCAGAAGGCGCGCTTTACTCTTTCTTCTCTCAGCTGGCATATCGCGCAAACGACGACAGAGGAGTAGGTTTTGCCATCGCGAAACAATATTACTGATGCTGAGGAGACAAGACTTGCGCTTGATTTACGACCTAATCCTCTCCGTCTGTCCGTCCCTTCTTTCCGAGAGAATGTTGTCACAGTCTCTTCGTATGTGTGTGTGTGTATACGTACCGTTCGAGTCTTGTAAATCGTATTCATCTTTCGAAACGCTCGCGACATGTTGAAGGCACCTGTGGCTATATCTCGTAAAATATATATATATATGCAGACTGCATGCAAACGACCGAACTCGCGGGGATAATGCCCGAGAAAAGTCGGCGTTCAGCTTTTAATAAATCGATGGTTAAGACGTTGATCGATATGATATATTCTTTCGGAGTTTTCACGCGAGAGACACGTTAAACCGCTCGGCACTTCACCTTGGTCAATGCACTCACCATGCACTTTTTATTCCCCTTTAACGCTTGCTCACATTGGAGTAGTCGGCGCTCCGGAAGAATTCACTAACACCCTGGGTAAGTCTACCACATGTGCATGAATGAATCATGAGAGCCTCGAACAGAACACCGCGATACAACGTCCGTTACAACGCAGTCTTGATCGCGTATGAGAGCGCATTTTAATAAATCACGCAGCAAAAACATAATTAATAAGCGCGCCGCACTGTTTATCCGGTGACGTTTAAGTGGCAATAAAGTAGAGAGCGGGACGGTTGTGGAGATGCGAACGGGTCTTTTTAATCGCATATTCGCTCGTTTTCTTTTTTCTTCGCGCGCGGTTGACATCAAGAAAGGCCTTGTCGATATGAGTCAATTATATGAAAGGAAAATAAATGTCGTTTTAAGAGCCGCAACATCGGCAATAAACGCGACCGAATTGACAAGTATAGACTCTCGCAACAAGACCACCGGGATTCGTGCGAGTTACGAGTCCGTTTTGTCCCGTCGAAACTTTTTTACTGTCGCTACACGTCGATCGGACTCGTCTTAACGACTCTGAACGGAACGAGATCTCGATCATCGTTCTTTTTTTTTTTTTTTTTCGCCAGTCGTGGACGGCGGATGGTCCAGATGGTCGGCATGGTCGGTGTGTGGGAGCGACTGCACGCACACAAGAAGGAGGTCATGCGACGAACCGCCACCCAGCCACGGTGGACGACCTTGCCAGGGCAGAGACATCAACGTGGCGAATTGCACCGGCGGTATGTGCAACGGTAAGTCACAGACGAACTTTTCTACGTCTTGATTGCGCCTTCCCGCCTTGCCGCAATCTTTTTGCGTACCGTAAAGTTCCGATGAGCCATGAACCATCCTGTTCCGTTTTACTTCTCGAAGAGGTTTTAAACTACGCGACAATGTATTTTTCATTTTCCGGAAGAAACGGGAAAATCATCTTCGCTCAACTTTGCCAAGAGCGTTGAGAATTTCAAGTAACTTTTTCATCCGAAAAATAGAGACTAGTGTTTTGTTTTCTGAAATTTTTGCAGCAACAGCAGTTTTATCATTTTTCTTTTACGTGTTTGATCAAAATTAACGTAAAAACAAATCAACTTAGTTGCGATAGAAAGCAAATAACGTTAACTAACAGCAGACGGCATTGCGGCATTTGTGAAAGTAGTTTATCGGAGTAGACTCCGATGCTATCGAAATCCTTTAATTATCCAACTTACATCGACGCTTCCTTTTACAGTCGGCAACGCGAAGGTGGGCGGCGCTCATTTGACCGAGGAAGGTGAGTTTTACAAGCAATAAAGCATTTTCCCGCTCTTTTAATCTCTGTTTCCTCTTGTTTCGTTTCCTTTTACGATTTTAGCTCGCGTCGTGTTTCCCGCGCGCCGCTCGTCGATCGACCGTGTGTGCGCGTAGCAAAGAGAAAAGTTTCTCGATTAGATAAGCTACGATCTCTCGCCGCGATGTACCACCTCCGATTCGTTCCGGATTTGTAGACGCTCGCGAAAAAATAAAACAAGATGCGAGGAGTAGGAGGTTCCCTCTCGTGCACACACCAGGGCGCGACCAAGTCGCTCGACCGCGAAGCAAATGTCCTTAACTCGTCGTGCGACATTCTTGGATGGATTCTTCACGCCCGGTGCACGCCATTTATATTCCCGGCGACGCGGCGCTATACCCGCCGATCTGATACCATTCAAATCAGATGTTTTATGCGTCTCGAAAAAGCCGGCAAAATAGAGAGCGCGCGCGAGTACAGGCGCGGTGAACATTAGCATTATTCATTAATCCGGTATAATAAACGCGAGTCGCGGCGCCCGCGTCGTGCATCAAGCTCTCTACGCGTTTGCGCTAAAAATAATTCCCGCGTATGCAAAACGACAGCCGATCGGCTGCCGGCGATACGAAACGCTCGCGCTTTGCCGCTACATAACGTATATTTGCAGACGCGTTTTTCCGCGTCGATAACGAACACGGCTCTCCCGCGGTACTATTTACTTTTAATTACTCGACCGGTTAATTATTGACGCTCCCGCGAAGGTCCAACATGATCGTCGCGCGACCCCTCGTTGCGCGATCCAAACAATCGTAACAATGAGGCGGCTCGCAGCCAAGGGTGGCTCGCCGATCCGTACAGACGCTAACCTTCTCTTCCTCCCTCTCTCCCTCCCGCCCTCACTTCGGCCGTTCACGTCACCCTAAGGTAGCCAATTCTATCGACCGAGGCACATCAAAGTTGCACGCGATACGGCTGCACCCTCTCTACCCCCTTTGCGCCGAGGGGCGGAGACCGGCTTTAATATCGAAGAAAATTATGTAATCGGTAGCCGTTACGCCCTTACCGCGGAAGGGGGAAATTGATCGCGCATGCAAATAAAGTGCCATTATCCCGTGGCGCAGACTCGAGCGTGTACACGACTGGATCTCTCGCCGAGGGGGCTGGATACCCCAAACAGCCCCCTCTCTCCTTGAATCCAGAAGTGAGTTCGATTTTCCTGAAAGCGGCGATAAAATATAGATGGAAGATACGCGCTCGCCCGCTGTCGGAGAAACGTGATGCGATTTACCGCCTTACGCCGACAGGCGTCTTACGAGAAGCCTCGAGTCATCTCGGACGTTTTTGGTTTAAATATTTAAGACGCGACGCCGTCAATCGAGGAAAGATGTTTAAAGTGGGCAGATCCATACAGAGATATTAATCGGCACTTCGCCGATGTAACGAATATGTAAAAAACTCGTCTTACAAATCATTATCTCGATGATGATAAAAATGAATAAGCGTTTCTTACAAGCATGGAGGTAATAATATATAGAAAAACGCGTTTGTTATAACTTTTATAAATCTGTAATATGAAGATTGATAAATTTATCAATGGCAAAACTTTTCTAAGAGCATCTGCGCACAATGCGCGATTTCTCGAAAGAAAAGATGAAAAATGGTTTCAGATACATTAGGTTCGGGTTATGAAGCGTTATCAATAGTCTCGAAGAAAATAAATCCCTACGCCCCTGTGTGCGGAAAGCCACTTTTCAAGCTGTCTCCACGGGAGGGGTGGGATTGGAAGCTCTGCGCGCGCGTTTCCGATCTCGCCGTCGTCGTCGCGTCTCGGCGCGCAACGACGTGGAACTATTGCGTTTTCGAAATCCCTCTTCCGAATTCGTATGCATTTTCGTCGCTGTCGTGTATATTGACGTGCGGGGCACGTGTCGGAAACACGGCGTGCGCCAACGAGGCGCACATGATCCCCGCGAAAGGGAGCCCCGGGCTCGAAAGTCACGTAGCAGGGTTACGACCTCGTATGGCTTTGACATTCTAAAATTGGAGGAAGCTTAAGAGCGTCAGAACCCGCGCTCACGCCGGGCGGTTGAGGTATTTCTCGAAATTTTTTACGATCGCGGGGACATTTCTCTTTGCGTGTCGTCTCGTTGCCGCTGAACCGCATCTACCGCACGCGGTAGGCCCCGTGAATGGTTAAGTACGTCAAGTAATTCGGTAACAAAACCAAAAAAAAAAAAAAAGAATTGCTCACAATTCTGATGCTGCGGTGAGCTTCTGCATCGTCGCGTTTTATTGCGCGGCCAGTTTTATTTTTTGAGAAGTTTATTTCTCTCGCTTGCATTTATCTAGCATCGTCCATACTTCCGGAAAGACGGCGGTTGTAAAGCGTCGTGCGAATTTGCATATGTCCGCACGCACGTCTTCGCGATTCTTGAGAACAGCTGTGCGCGCCTTTACGTAATTCGATCTTTTATATACGTATACACCACGCTTCGTTAAATACTCGTTGCATTGTGATGCAATCTAGGTCGATCGCGTTTTAAACTACGCCGCGGATTTCGTTTCCCGACTCAATCTCATAAGTGCAACGACATCACCTTAAAATTATTATTCCACTCGAAGCGTGTCTGCGTCGCAATGCTTTTATTGCGTACGTTAACGACGACGATAATAATGATCGGAATCTTTATGGCCGTACGAAATAACACGCGGAGCTGTAAAACGATAAACTGACGCGCGCTCGAGAAAACGAGCGCGCGGAGGAAACGAGCGTGTCGCCGGCGTAAATGGAGAGGAACCTTAAAACCTTGAAAACTTTTCTACACGAAACTCTCGTAATATTTAGCGAGGCGCGGGAACATTTAATGCTCTCTGGCACTTTTTAGACTTTTTTTTTCTTTGTCGTCGCGAGAAAGAGGACTCGTCGTGTAAAAAGTAAATAAAAGTTATGGCGTTAACTATTCATGAGGAAGCGGCGCGCCATACGATATTTACCGAAAATTGCTCGCTGGTTTTTCGCGCCGTTTAACGTAACAAGCGTCCGGGTGATTTTATAAGAAGAACGAAATTCTCACACACTCTCTCTACGCGCGCTTCCTGATTATATAAGAGATAAGTAAGGGAAGAGATGTAAGAATTTGCTTTATGTAATTTTTTTGCAGCGAATCGCCAGATGGATGTAGCCTTATATGTCGGTCTAACGGTCGCCTGTGTGGTAATTGCCGGCTTGGCGTTCTTTCTGGCGAGACTCCTGCGACGCAAAGGTCGCGATCACTCCTTGTACTCTATGGCTCGTAATGGTAAGCATTTCAGAGGTAAAAGAAAAACAAACGTAGTATGTGTTACAAACAAAAATCATTTTAGATTACGAGTATGATTCGAGTTCGTAAAACTTTTGTTTTTCGTTTTGTTTTTTATAATCAAGAGACATCTTGTCTCTCGATCAGAAAGGAGTGTAAGATACTATTTCGAGATTGATTGAAAACTGATCGCGCTAAACCTATGATAGCTAACAATTTGAATCTCAAACTCTGAATGAAAATCTCTCTCTAACATATGCGTAAAATATTGTTCAAATACTAACAATCGTTGAACGCGTTCATCAATACGACACACTGTGTAATCCTACGTATCTTTCATGTAAGAAAAGAGAAAAGAATAAAACGCGCGCGAGTTAATCGATCGTAGCTCATACCGTAGAATCGGAATAGTATCTCGGCGGGGCGTTTGTCCGCAGCGGGCAGAGATACCCACGAGCCGTGCCTCGGCCGTGTGCGTTTCAGAATTCCAGCCGGAGTTCTTCCCGGACCAGGACAAGAAGCTGAGCCTGCAGCCGGACGTAACGGCGACGAGCGTACCGGCCTGCTACGAGTATCCTTTCGATCCGAAGCTGTCGATGTCGAGATCCCTTTCGGAGCATCACTACGATGTGCCGCATTTGTCGATCGCGCCGCAACCGTCGCCGATGTCGCCCACGCCGAGTACGTCGACCCAGGAGTCCTGCAGCGACAAGCAGATCCACTCCGACAGCGAGAACAGCGTCACTAGCTCCTACCCGAGCTCGGATTCAACATACAATGTCGCCTCGGAGAGCGTACGGTTGCCAAAGCTGGAAGCCGGAAACGTCGCCCGCGCGGCGGTGAACACGCGCGGCGCCCTGCTGGTCCTTCCGGACTCCGGGATTTCCATGTCGGTACCCGAGGGAGCGGTTCCCAAGCCGCTGCGGGAGGAGCTGTATCTGGCGGTGCTCAACGAGGATCGTTACAGGCCCCGATTACCCGGTGAGTGCGAATTATTCATGGCGTTACGCGCGTAAGCGCGCCGCGGGAACCAGATGCCGAGCTTTACGATTGCGCAGCTGTGCGCGAGAAAACTTTTGCCGGTGTAGACATTTGCGCGATGTTATTTTTATATCAGCGCCCGTTCCGCACGTGCTTCGGATTACATCCTGTATGTGATGTTCGATATATGGGGCATTCACTACATCGATTTTGTTGTGTGTCGGAGAAAAAAAAACAGCGAGGATAAAGTTGTTTAGGGGAGAGAGACGAGATTTCACAATCACTGATAATTTTGTTTTATCCTTGATTCGGGTAAACAATTTTTTCTCTGGTACATGGTAAACGCATTTGAAAATAACATTAATCAAAGTTTAACATGACGGTATTTGCATCAACAACGGGATGATAACGATAACGCACAATAGCGGCATTAAGTTCGATAGCGCGTAATGTATTCGTGCCATTATTCTTTTCTTCTCGTATCGTCCCGAGTATATTATTCGAATCTCGAGTCTCGGTTTTTTCCTCACAGACGGGATAACTCAGTTATCGGCTGTGGTGACCTGCGGCCCGTCTACGGCAACCTTCAACAAGCCTGTGATTCTCCAATTCGAGCATTGTGCCATGTTGCATCCGGCGACTTGGGAGCTGAGCGTATGGGCGTGCGACGGTGTTAATATCGACGACGGTTCGTCATCTATGGTGTCCAAAGATCACCAGTCGATTACGTGGACCAGAGTGTTGACTTTAGGCAACGAGACTATCAACACGCCGCTCTTCACTCAGTTGGATCACGCGGAAGCTTTCATAGTGACCGAACAATTACGAGGTTACGTGCTGGCCGGTCAGAGCTGCGAGAATTCGATCGCCACGAAACGATTGCGACTGGCGCTCTTCGCCAGCCAGGCCGGTCAGTGTTGCGTCAGGGTTTACGCCGTGGAGGACACGAGGGCGGCCATGAAAGCCATCGTGGACCGGGAGTCACAAATCCGGGGCTATCTGCTGGACAAACCTCGCACGTTGCTGTACCAAGACAACGGGGAGTCGCTCTGCGTCAGTCTCGAGGAAGTCGGCAACGAATGGCAGAGCAAATCGCCCACAGAACGCCAGGAAGTCTCGTTCCGGGACGTATGGAACTGCCAGGAGAACGCCAAACACGTGACCTTTGGTCTGGACACGGCCTTTGGCCCGACCACTACGAGAAGCTACAAGCTGCAAGTCGCGCAGGGCAACTCCGACACGAGACAAGTCTTCAGAATCGTTTACGACGGCGCGAAACAGTTGATCTCCTCGGGTAGCGTCACGAGGCCGCTTCGAGAAGTCACCGTGGTCAGCAGCGGGCACGCCAACAACGCCACAACGGACTCCACTACTCTGCGGCCGTTCCGATTTACGAGATCTTTGAGGAAGCAGCTCTGCCAGTGCTTGGATCCGCCGAACGCTCTGGGAAACGATTGGAGAATGTTGGCGCAGAGGCTTCAAGTCGACAGGTCGGTAGCGCGCGCAAGCCGCAGCAGCCTTTCCGTTTTGTTTATTATTCGCACTTAATTCAGAGTAGAATTCCATTAGTTGCGCTCCGTTATGTTTATACAGCGAATACATTTACTAACACAGAGTGAGTGACTTTTACGCTCCAATGCGGATAAATCAACATCGGATAGCAAATATTTGCTTTAATAACAGGATCTGATCAGTTTTCCGGTGACGCTTATGATTAATGGTCTATTAATTTCTTTATGCGCATATCTAATTTGAAAATTCATAGGTACAATGTGTCGGCACGTAACAAAGTTTAACGCAAATCACGATCGATTGTCTTGTTGCATAAACCTTCTTGCTTAAACGCGCTTTATTTTGCCGGATGAATATATACATATACATATATGTGTGTGCGCACGGCCATTTCGCTTTCTTTAATAACGACGCAGCCGGTGTTTTTGTTCGTGTAACAGGTACATTAATTACTTCGCGACCAAGGCCAGTCCGACCGAGCACATTCTGGATCTGTGGGAGGCGAGGCATCGTGAACCGACGGCGGTGACGGATCTGCTCAACCATCTCAGAGTAATGGGCCGGACCGACGCCGCCACGATTCTGGAGGCGCAGCTCGGCCCGTGGCTCTGAATAAACAGAAAACCGGATCTTTGAAAGGAGCGTTTCCAGCGGTGAGTGAAAGTCGAGACCACGTTGCACGCCCACATTTCGCGAGATCGGTGAATCAGTGGGTGATCGAACGGCGAACTCGAGAGATCGATCACAGAGTGAGTTACTAGTGATTTATGAATTGCTCACGAAGTTGAGCGCGCGTGAGAACGACAACGAGATAATATAAAGAACGAACCCCGGTTCTCCGAAACGGACTCATCGAAACACTGCCTTAATTGTGCGCGGCAAAACGCGCCGGTACTCTGTAAATAAACGCGAGTTTAGAAGGAAAAGCTCGTGGATCTCCTGAGATTTAAGAGGAGATTCGATGAGCGTATTTAAGGACCGTGGCGATGTTTACCCAAAAGTTCAAGAGCTGAGACGCGCGCGGTCTATAAAATGAAAGAAACCTTACATATAATCGTGATGAAATTAATTAGGAACTGTGCATTTAGACGGATGTATCTTGTACATAATATATACTAAAAAAAAAAAAAAAAAAAACACGCGCGCAGATACAGATGGATATGTCCATTTTAGAGATGGATGTTTATATATATATATAAATATATATGTTATATATATAGATATATATACCGGATATATATATATACACACATACACACAAACACACGTACACGTACACACACCAAGTAAAGTTCGAGCGGATCGACAATATCCGCGACACTTCGACGCGACGACGTAATTTTTCGTATCGATTTGTTGAACACGAACGCACGCGAGAGCACGAGCGAGTGGTTTATTATTTTTTCTTCGAAAATCGTGCCAAAATTATCTCGGTTTCGTGAGCGTACACACTTCCGTTGTTGTTACATTAGAGTTTCGTGAACGCCGCCGTACCTATCTCTTTTTCGAAACCCCATGTCGACAATACAGATCGCGATGTACAACACACGACGAACCGTGGCGATCGTCGTGCGCGCGTTGTTGCTCATCAACGTCGAATCGGAGCGACGCGCGCGATCGCATATAAAACGAGCTAATTACGACAGACATGATTTAAATCGACGATTTATTTGAGAGAATTGTATATTTGTTACTTTCGACGAATAAAATATTCTTGTATACCTCAGAGACAAACTCGTTCGTTTTAATTATTTCACCCGACTCGTCCTCTTTTTATCCTCTTTCTTACACAAATAAAATATGTGCTGGTCATCGAGTTTTATTAATTCGCGAAAGCTTTGTTTCGCGACAGTGCAACATATTTCCGATGTGTCTTTAGATATTTAATTTCTTAAAAATTTGAAAATGAAGTATGCGCGTCGTATCGCGTGCAAAAATTATCTTCTCATGAGAAATGCATTCTTCTTTCTTAAATATGCGGAGAAAAAATAAATCTACATGAGAATGCACGAGACGACATCTTGTAAATAAAATCCATGCGAAACTTTCCGAAGTGAAAGATCACATGAAAGACTGGATGTTCTCGTAAAGAATGCTGCAACGTAATAACTCCGCAAACGTACTTTATCGGCATACTGTCAATAATTTTTTGCCGGCGAAAGAACATCCTTCTTGGCCGGTATTAAAGGCGCATCTTGGCGCGCGCGCGCGCGCGCAAGCTACGCAGAGACTGTATATTACTTCAATTTCAGCTTGTCTCCGGACGTTCGACAGGGACAAGATATTCTATCTTCTACCTCCTCGATCCCAGCTGCGGCGGCGGTCTCACTCGATTTTCTCCCGTCTCGAAAATAGGTACGTACCTTTTGCGGAAGTTGAAGAAGGCGGAAATAGGTGACAATGGACGTCGGAGCGTTGCAATTTTGAAATGTCGATACCAGTCACACACGTGTCTTCTCACTCATTTCTTCAATCCACATTCTTCCTCTCTCTTTCTGTCTCGATTCCCCCTTCCCAAGTTTTACCGAGTCTGACAGCTTTCCTCGGTGTCTGTATAGCGTTAATGTAATTCGCTTACCACACGCTGTGTTTGTAATGACAGACACACACACACACACACAGACACACACAAAATTCATAAATTTCGTTATATCAAACATCTATTTCGTCACATCAAATATCGCACAATTCAATCTTCATTTAAAAACGACGGGTATTTTTCGGTCAACAGACGCACGGAAAGCGGACACTGTCCGGAGTAAAATCACCAATGATGTGTGAAAAATTGTTTTTGAACCAACAAGACGCTTCGTTAATTAAACGAAAGCTAGTTATTTTGTTGGGACGCACAGGTCTATTTCAATCTGCGCGGGAGTATATGTAAAATTTAAATGGATTGAAACAACAAAAAATATACGATAAATTCGACGGTCAGACGGCGAAGCTCGATTATCGAAACCGGCGACGTTTCCATCGTATTTGTACGTGTTAGTACGGTAAATTAAACTTTATCTGATTCAATAAATGCTTTATCTCTCTGCTGAATTGTGGAAAACTTTCGTCGCTTGTGCGCTGGCGATGCGATGCGCCGGAAATTAAACGGGGTAAGGCGGCAGTCGCCGCGGAGATGTGAGATGGGAACGTTGGGTGGCAAGAGGTGAAGTATTTAAAAAGTTCTTTTTAATCGCGAGCAAAAAAATGATGGACATTCGGCACTTAACTCTTTAAAGAGCGATTTTACGAAAACGTCAACTGCATTCCGGATAAACTGTTTAACTTGCCTAATGGAATTTCTTTATATCACGATATATTTTCTGCTGTAACGGAAACGTATCGGTATACGTACACGTATTACATAGTAAAGCGAACCAAGTTTATTTTTACACCTGTCAAACCGCGTGAGTTTTCACCCACTAAATATACAACATTCCGTAAACAGGTTGATCGTTCGTCACGTCTCTATTTTATTTTAGCTTTTTTTTCAACAATATTTTCTTTCCGTCGTGTTTTCAACGTATACACTATTTATTGCGCTATTTATTAATTTACTCACAAGTACCGGAAAAACGATGTAAGCCAAATCGAAAAAAACTGAAACGAAATTCCTCGGGTGTCTTGTGCAAAGTGCGAGGCAACCGGAAAATACTTGAACTTGAAAAAAAAAAGTGACGGATGGATCTGGCACATAACTATTCAAACATTAAAACCGTCCGGCATTTAAAGGGAGAACTCTTGAGAAGAGCAATGCCGCCGCTCTTTTCTCCTTTTTCTTCATGACGCTCTCCGCGAGATCGTTGCGTAAACGTAACGGAATGCGCACAAGTGTTTTTCAAGTGCTCCAGCATGTTGCCGGTCAGAAAGACGCACTGTAAAAATAGCCCGAGAGAACAGACTTTACTTCCTTTCCCGATAACATGACTGAACTTCTCGAACGGACTTTGTTACTTCAATGACAATGAAAGATTCACGTCGTCTATCAAGGAAACAATCTCGTTTTTTGCTTTTTTTCTTCTCTCTCTTTCTCTTGCAATAATATGGTTTAATAAAAAATGTAACAATTGGTTTTTAATTCTTCTATCTCTGTGAAAATCTTTATATCTGTCAAATTTGTCCTTATAGTGTGTACTTTGTAACACAGCATCATCAATTAATGGAAAAAAAAAAAAAAAAAACATATTACACAACTTTAGACTCCGCACATAAGAATAAATCAAATAGAATATGCATTGCGTATACCATAGGCTCTCTCATCTATTACGCGGGACGGCGTGAAATATCGTAGCGAGTATATCACATATCGCTCGCCATTCGAGAGACAGTCAATGACGCATCGGCATGTCGAATCCTCATTGAGAATGCGTCTGTGAAAATAAGCGCTCCGATTCGTTCCTGTCGTGCGGCGAGGCGCGCTGGGCGGACGGAGTCTCTCGTCTTTTTTCACTCGGTCGGATGTTCGCGTGGGATATGCACGAGAGCGGGTCGGTCTATCCGTAGCGACGACCGACGCGACGTTACAGTGCCGAGAGGAGAAAAGGCAGATAGGGCGTAAATTATAATAAAGGCGCACGCAGATCACGAGTCTTCTTCCGACTCGTACGAGTTTGTGCGCGTCGGCGCGCTTGCGTCGGCATTAATGACTTATTGGCATGTTGAATCATCATTAAAGAGACGGCGTATCGCACGAGCGCGCGCGCAGCGCGCTTCGTTTCCTTTCTTTTCGACGACGGGACTTCAACGAGTTGTGGCGTTTTTCTTTCTAGTCCGGGAGCACGCGTACATATTTCGCTTCGCGTGCGCGAAGAGTTGTTCCGCGCAAACACGTCCCTTCGTGACAGAAAGTGCAAGTAATAACGCGTTTGCAGACCCCGGCTTCTTCATTATTTTCCGCCGTTTGATCGCGCGCGTGTGCGCCACGCGTGTTCCGGTCACGGCATGCGCGCCGAGAGGTACGAGGGGATATATCGACGTGCAAATGACACGTTAAACAGAAATTGCCGTGCGTGTCTCTCGATTGAGAGAGAGAGAGAGCTTCTGCTTATGGATATATCGTGCAGTGTCGCAAGAATTTAAATTTACACCCGAGGCGACGCGAAAAACACGAAACACACGGCTCTACATCGCTCGCCGATAATTTTCAGCGACTCGCGCGTGTTACGCCGATTTTTCTTACCGTTTAAGCGGCGAATGTTTACGCCGTTGTAATGTTGTATTTTCTATCGATAGATTTAGCATACACACATATATGTGATATAATACTTAAAGATACATTGCACCGTGCCACTCGCTCTCGACATCACAGGAATGTTCGTTCGATCGCATTCGCCGCTTTCGCGATCGTGCCACAATGCGTTTTACTTCGTGCGGACTTTGTGTCTTTGTAAGCACACCGCGAAGGTGCGTCTTACTGCGAGATAAACGTTACGATACATATATATATATATATATATATATATATATAATATATGCACGAATATATAAATATATTCGTACACGGTATTCTGAAGAGAATATTCTGGCATTTTAGAGATTAGCATCTCTCTAGTGATCGGAGATAAGCAAGCACAGATCTCTCGGCACCGAGATGCTAGATTAGAACAATTCACGTGAAAGGTTACATTTTCTCTCATAACAAGACGAAAGTAAATTACATTCGCAACAATATGTTCTTCCAGGTAAAAGCGTTCTTAATACTCGGGAGAGATAAATCAATATACATATATGTTGTGCGTGTAGGAGTAAAATGTAAGTCTCGAATCGTGAGTTTATAGTGTTCGCCGCGCGAATAGCGATAAGACTATCGCTGTACACTTAAATATCACACACGAGCCACGTAGCTTTGATCCGCTTCTGATCGTCAGGACGTCACAACAAACGTGACGCTACGCGGTTTAGTTTTTGTTCGTGACGAGTTCCTTTTGCCTCCGGTCGACGAAGTAACCGATCTTCGACGCGAGAGAATAAGATTTCTCAAAGACTATATCAAAGAGTACGCCACAATATATATACATTGATAAATAACTTCGGTAAACGTGCACATAATAACATGACTCATGACTTTCGAGAAATGTTTATGAAAATTATGCAGAGATATGCATACGTGCGTACACAATGCGATAAACGCGTTCGCGCGAGTATATGACACGCGCGAACAATAATTGACATTTCGCAAGACAGGCGCCGGTCACATTTCTTGT